GAGCCCCGCCCCCGAGCCCCGCGGCCGCTCAGGTGGTCCCCGCGGCGCCAGCAGGTGCGGAAGCAGGAGACTTGGGGCTTCTCGGCGTACGGCATGGGCGTGGGCCTGTGGCTCATGATCTCATCGCTGCCGCGGCGCCGCCTGGTGCTGAACCACGCGCGCGGCTTGTACCACTTCTCCATCGAGGGCCGCACCGTGTGCCAGGGGCCCATGCACCTGCTCTACGTGCGCCTGGCGCTCAGCTCCGACGGTGACTACCGGGACGTGGGCACCGGGGGAGGGTGTGCACGGGAGAGGGACGGGAGGGGCGCACAGGCCCCGGCGGCCCCCCTGAGAGGCTCGCCCCCCGCCAGCCTACGGAAGGTGTTTCTTCCAGCTGGTCCTCTGTGGTCACAAGCTAGAGCCGCTGGTGCTGGTGCAGCTGTCGGAGTGCTACGAGGTGGGTCCAGCCCCAGACACGCGTCCTCCACCCCTACGGGACGAGATGACACGACCACTGTTTAGGGTCTTGGGATGGGGCCGTTTCGCACGCAAAGGATAAATACGAGCGCAGCGCGGTCCTGCTCCCGGGTCTCAGCGGCGAGCCTCGCGGAGACGCGGAGAGGGGCTGGGGGATGCGGCTCGAAGGCGCCGCGGTGGGGCCTCGCCTGTCCGGGAGAAAGCGACCGCGACCCGCTCCCACAGCAAACGGAATACCTGGGCCGTCACATCGCCCGGAAACTCAACATTAACTACTTCGATTATCTGGCCACGTCCTACCGGCACGTGGTCCGCCACTGGCCTCTGGGGTCGACCTTCAGCCCAGGCATCCTGTTGCGCAAGAACCGCATCTACAGAAAGCCGAGCCGCTCTCTGTCCGACCTGGAAGTGTGACTCTGTGGGCCTGTCCTCCTCCCTGCCCCCTACTCCCAGGAGTGCATTCTCCCCTCCAACCTCTTCCCGGGCCTGTCACTTTCAGTCTGGGGCAGCCGCAGGCGAGTCCCACCCACTGGCCTTCCTCTCAATAAAGCTGCCTCCTGATTCCAGCTCGTTGGTTTTCTCTTGGGGACTGAGGGTGGGGGTCCAGTCAAGGGTCTTCCCCTAATGCAACACCTTCCAGGGCACCAGGGAGCCTATCCACTCCAGCGAGCTGGTGCAAGCCCCAGAGCTTGGATTTGAAGATGGGGATGGTGCTGGGGCGAGGGTGGCATGCAGCCAGGCCTCTAAGAGGTTGGATTTATCACCAGTTAGGCTCAGGACTCACCCTCTTGGCCAGCAGCACTTAACTGGTCTTACCTGACCGCAGAGGTGCTAGCCAGTAAGTAGAATCCAGGAGTCAGAATCTGACTGGTTCAGTCTGGGTTAGGTGCCTCTTCCCTGTCCAACCAGCAGTGGGACAGGGTAGAGAAAGAGGACAAGCCCTGTGCCTGGGGATGCATCTTGGACTAGATTCCCCCCAAAGTTGCTGCAGCGTACCACCCAGGGAGTGGGCTGCAGATGTCCTAGGCCAGGGTGCCATGCCTCTTGGAAGGGGTAGACCCATGGCTCTTGCTCTGCATGCCTGCTGGAACCCCAGTCCCATGTTCCCTTGTCCTGCAGCACTCCCCAGCTCTCACCACAGCCCCTGAGGCCTCTTGGGTGCTGGGGGCTGCTGTGGGTGCAGAGAAGTCAGTGAGTCATGGGGTCCAAGGAGGAGCAGTGCCTGGCACTGTCCACCTGGCTCTCCCAGTCAGCGTGCTGGTGACCCAGGTCTGGGCATTGTGTCAGCTAAGTGTCCCTGGAACCAGGACTGGCTGCATAATTTGTAGGGTCCTATACTAAAAGAAAATGCAGAGCTCCTTGTTAAAAAGTTACTAAGAATTTCGGGATGGCAACAGCAGAATATTAAAGCAGGCACATGGCCCTTCTGAGCGTGGGGACCTGTGTGATTGTTCAGGTCACATGCTCATGAAGCCAGGCCTGCCTGGAACCATGGCTCAGAGTCACTGGTTGACCCATGCTTCTGAGCCAGCCAAATCCAGTGAGTGCACAGGCACCCCGCCTGTCTCTGGGGCAGGGTCCCGAGACTGCTGGAATTGCTATAGGTAGCCCTGAGGCGCAATTGCTATTAATGGCACAAATGCAGAAACCCCTCCCCACCAGAAGATGGGAGCCAAGATGCTCCCAGAGTGGCTGTGTCCAGCTTTTATGGGGGAGTACTCGAGGGGTGCACAGATCCTGGCAGTTGAGGGGTTGGGACAGGCTGGGGGACAGAGTGCAGGGAGGGAGATGAGGATTGTGGGCTGTGGGCCATGGCTGGCTGGGTGAGTGCCTTGTGGCTGAGCCAAAGCCAGATGTCCAGCTGCCGGTCAGCTTTGGAGGGGTCAGAAGGGCATACCAGCCAAGGTGGGTCAGCCTGGGTTCAAGTCGGGGACTAGTTTCCCTCAGGCAAGCAAAGTCCCTGCCCTCCTGGAGCTGACAGTCTCAGCGACACAGAATAAAGAACTGGCTTCTACACAGTCCAAGTGGCTGGAGAAGGGGTGGGGTCCCTCTTGGCAGGGGGTCAGGAAAGGCCTTTCTGAGAAGTCGCATTTAACTCGGGGGGAGAGCACTCTGGGAGAAGGGACAGGAATGCAAAGGGCGCGGTACAGGACGGAGCTGGGCGTGCAGGAGAAGCAGCAGGAGGCCGGTGGGCCGAACAGTGTCGGGCGGAAGCGGGAAGGGCAGCAGGGTCCTTGGAGGTCACGGCTTGGAGTTGTTGGGCTCCCTGTGGTGGGAAACTGCTGGGGAGTTGTGAGCAGAGACACACTCTGATCCCGGAGGAGTGGCGAGGAAGGGCCAGGAGGCTGCAGGCACCGCGCAGGGAGAGGGGACTGGGCGAGGCAGAGCTGAGCCTGGCTGGAAGGCACGGCGGACAGGATCTGCTGGCGGGCTGGATGTGGGCTGGTGGCCTGGGCTCTGGGCCTGGGAGCCACGGGCAGGAGGAGCTGGGAATGTGGAGTCGTGAGTCAGGCTGGGCCTGAGGAGCTTATGGGACATCGTGAGGCAGATTCTGAACAGGCAGAGAGGCACCAGGGAGAAATGGGAGGGAAGCCCACCTTTGGAGCCATCAGTGCCCTGTCGGTCCCTAAAGCCATGGCCCAGAGTGAGATGTCATACGGAAGATGGACAAGGAGATCAGGACCATGGCTGGAGCCCTGGCATTGGGCACACAGAGGAGAGGAGCGGCCCGCGAGGGTGGGGGACCAGGAAACTAGAGAGAGAGGAAAGGAACCCATGTTGAGTAAAACGGGGTCTGACTGGGGGTGGCAGGGCTCAGCCGCAGCGCAGGAGTGGGGGGGGCTCAGCAAAGACCACACAGTAAGTGTCACTGTCATGAGCAGAGAAACAAGGTGGCAGCTTGCAGGAGGGGGAGTCTTGTTTGTTTGATTCTAAAGGCATACTGACTTGCAGGTGGGAGTGGTCCAATGGAGATTTATTATGCAGCAAGTGACAGGGACATTTGCAGAAACAAAGTTCTTGGCTGGGCAAAGGGAGAGGATTAGGAACAATTGGGATTGGGGGCAGGGTCTCTCTGCCCACCCTCCACTTCTTCCTTAGAAAAGAACCCCCCACATGGGGCCACCTGTGGGTCACTTGGGAGGGCGTGATGCTGACGACACCAAGTCAAGGGTTAAGATCCCCTGGCCGGTCATGCAGAATAAAGACCATGCTTCCCAGCCTCTGTGGTAGATTGATATAGGTGGTTATGAGACTAATTCTTGGCCAATGCAATTTAGAATCAGTGTGTGAAATTTCCAAAAGTATCCTTAAGAAAGAGGTTTGCCTGTCTTTGCCACTTCTTTTCATAGGCTGGAATGTGCCCATGGTGACCTGAGCTCAAGTAGTCATCTCGAAACATGAGGTAGAATGCATGGGCTGAGGGTGGCAGAGCCACAGACCAGAATAGTGGCACATGGGTGGTGGCTCATTTGGCTTGACTTTGTGATTAGCTTCCAAAGAACAGAGAATAGAAATAAAAAATAGTGACTTGACAGTGAACAAGCTCAGCACACACCACCTTAATGAGGTGATCATGGTCAACATCAGCAGTGATAAGTTACAGTGATGTCATATGCCCCTGCAATGACACAGTGAGAAGACCATGTCACCTCTGTGGTCTCCTCCCCAAACCCATAACCCTCATCATGAGAGGACATCAGACAAACCCACTGAGGTACATTCTAGGAAATACTCTTTCATCCTACAAAATTGAGCAGTACTCCTAAAAACTGTGGTTACAAAAAACAGGGAAAGACTGAGAAACTGTCACAGACCACAGGAGACCAAGAAGACATGACAACTAAATGCGATGTGGTACTTTAAGTTGATTCCTGGAGTAGGAATGTTGCTTTGTCCCCCAGAGATTTGTCACCCCACTTCCCCTGGGTGATGGAGCTGCAAAGGATTACTCAAAGCCCATCTCTTCTGAGCAGTGAGAGAGCCCGAAGTGGTTAATCTCCCTCGGAACCCTCAAGAGAGAGGCATCCCTTCCTTGGGAAATTAACCCCAAATTGGGGTTCTCTTCCTGCATTTATTCTCCAGACCAGGAAGAGAACATAGGTGGGGTTATAGTTTAACAGTATAGGCTGGTAACTGTCAGTGAAACAAGCCAGATGACATTCCAGTAAGCAATTAAGTGACCCACCAACAAAGGCGGGATCTTAGCAAACATTCCTTCTCCCTCCACAATTTTCCAGTGTCTTTATATAACAATCAGTAACCTGTCTGTCCTTGAGCCAGCAACCTTGCTGTGTTACAATTCTTTATCTTACACCAGAGACTTTATAGCCTGAGGAAAATTTCCAGTCCTCCACAAGGTCAATATTTGAAACAGCAAGGCTTTGGAACACCAGGTCATGTGAAATACATTTGCTTTAGGAGTCCTCTACATAGAAAGAAGACATTAGAGGAAAAACTGGTGAAATCCAAATAAAGCATGGAGTTCAGTTAATAGTAACATATCAGTGTGGGTTTCTTGGTTGTGACAAATACGCCATAAAAATGTAAGATATTAGCAGCAGGGGAAAATGAGGGATGAGTGTAAGTAAGCCTCTGAATTATCTTTGTAACTTTTCTGTAAATCTAAATTTATTCTAAAGTAAAAAGTTTATTTTTATGGCTGGCTGGTTAGCTAGTTGGTTAGAGTGTGGTGCTGATAACAGCAAGGTCCAGGGTTTGATCCCTGCACTGACCAGCTGCTAAAAAAAACGAAAAAAGAAAAGACAAGAAAGGAGGCATGGAAGGTTGGAAGGTGCACAGCAGTTACGGTCAATAGAAATTCTCAAATGCAGGGCCGGCCCGGTGGCGCACTGGATAAGTGCGCCGCTTGAGAAGCGCGGCGGTGCTCCCGCCCAAGGGTTCGGATCCCACATACAGACCGGTTCCCGCGCACTGGCTGAGCGAGGCACGGGAGTAGCGCCGAGGGTTGCAATCCCGTTGCCGGTCCCCGGTCCGGTACGGGGGCAACACTGCGGGTTGCGATCCATTGCCAGACACGGAAAAAAAAAAAAAAAGAAATTCTCAAATGCAGGGCCGGCCCGGTCGCGCACTGGATAAGTGCGCCGCATGAGAAGCGCGGCGGTGCTCCCGCCCAAGGGTTCGGATCCCACATACAGACCGGTTCCCGCGCACTGGCTGAGCGAGGCACGGGAGTAGCGCCGAGGGTTGCAATCCCGTTGCCGGTCCCCGGTCCGGTACGGGGGCAACACTGCGGGTTGCGATCCATTGCCAGACACGGAAAAAAAAAAAAAAAGAAATTCTCAAATGCAGGGCCGGCCCGGTCGCGCACTGGATAAGTGCGCCGCATGAGAAGCGCGGCGGTGCTCCCGCCCAAGGGTTCGGATCCCACATACAGACCGGTTCCCGCGCACTGGCTGAGCGAGGCACGGGAGTAGCGCCGAGGGTTGCAATCCCGTTGCCGGTCCCCGGTCCGGTACGGGGGCAACACTGCGGGTTGCGATCCAT